GACTTTTGTAGCCCTAGAATTTAGCAACAGACTAAAAAGCAGACTTTTGTAGCCCTAGAATTTAGCAACAGACTAAAAAACAGACTTCTGTGGCCGTAGAATTTAGCAACAGACTAAAAAGCAGACTTTTGTAACCCTAGAATTTAGCAACAGACTGAAAAACAGACTTATGTAGCCCTAGAATTTAGCAAAAGACTAAAAAGCAGACTTCTGTAGCCGTTGAATTTAGCAACAGACTAAAAAGCAGACTTTTGTAGCTCTAGAATTTAGCAACAGACTAAAAAGCAGACTTTTGTAGCCCTAGAATTTAGCAACAGACTAAAAAGCAGACTTCTGTAGCCCTAGAATTTAGCAACAGACTAAAAATTGTTTTTCTAGCACTAGAAGCTGAAATTAAATTTAAAATCATGTTGAAATAACAGTTGATTGAATTACTTCAATCACCATTAAAATCCAGGTAGCCTTAACTACGGACTTAAAATTTAACAACAAGATAAACTTAAATTCTAGCAATCAAAGAAGCTCTGTTTACCTATTATTAAACTAGACAAAATGACAAAACAGTTTAAAAATGGTGCCCTCGCATCGTTTTACCACAATAGCTGTGTTAAAATTAATTAACTAGTCAATTAGTACAAAACATTACGCTAATTATCGTTTAGCATCCCGAAGCCCCAAATGGATCCTTCTTTTCCCTAACCTAAACAAATGTAGAGTTATCCACCTTTCTATCCTGTAACTCTATTCTCTCCCCTGCTTCACTTGGTACGTACACAGATGTCTGGGCTGTGTTTATCAAATCAGATAAACAGAAGGGATGTAAACAGGCCATTGGCAGATCCAAGCTTTAAAATATAACAATAATTAGACGGAATACAAACAACCCTTTCAAAACCGAATTCTTGTTTAAGAAAATCGAAAAGTGTTCAAAATATGGTAAATCAAACTTGACCAAGTAAATGAACTGCATTATGAATCGTTTAAAATACTTTTAAAATAAAGATCTAGAAATTTAATTCTAATGTAAGTTAACTTGATTAGGATTATGGTTAGGTTAGTAGGAAGTTCAAATAGACATTTAAACTATTATCATTATATAGGCTTTATATTGTGAGGTGGGAAGGGAACGGCGTTTATATTTTAGATTTGTGGGATGATGCGACACTCAAGGGCACCCGAGGTGCGGGGGGAGGGGGGGGGGGAGAATGTTAAGAAGTGTGACGTAACATCTGTATTAAATTAATTTCAATAGGGTCAGGAAAACACGTTAATTTAACTTTAAACAATCGGGGTCGGTAAATAAATGCTTAAGACAAACTTTTCAGTCCGAGGGCCGCATTGACTATCAAATTTCAGTTCGGGGGCCAGTTTCTTCCAGGCATGTCTTTGATTTTTCTGGGTGAAGTTCCTCAGCTATCACCAACAAACGTTTTTTCCGTGGACAATAAGATCTCCGCGGGCCGGATGAGAGGGCCGCATCCGGCCCGCGGGGAGTAGTTTGGAGACCCCTGGCTTAAGACAACACAATAGTAACTGATAGTGGGGTGAGACAGTGCTAGTTGATATCTTATATTAGCGCTCATTTATATCATATATTGTATAACCCCTCCCCCCCCCCCCCCACACACACACACGCACTAAATCGGCCCCCATAAAAATCCCGACATTCAAATTTTTTTTTAGCAATGGTGATTTCTAGAGAAGCTAATAACTGTAACTTAACGCGAGAGAGATATCATTTTTGGGGATCTATGTTAGAGGTATTAGCAACCTCCCCCCTCCCCCCACTCTTAACAGCCACTACTCATACCACTGGCACAAAAATTTCTTGTACTGCAAATTGTAAGAATCAGACTTACATGTAATCTCCTTCTTTAAAAGAGTAGTTTGGAAAGATGGCTACAAAAATGTATGAAACATTTCACAGACGTTCTATTTTTGGAGAGTGGGTCAAAATCTTCAGTTCCATAGTGAGTCATCTTCTAGTCATTCTAGCTTCTGATCTGTGGATCCTCTGTCAGTTTTTTAAAATCATCTGTCAGTGGTTCTATCTTGTTTTTTTTTATCATCTGTCAGTCGTTCTATCTTGTTGTTTTTTTATCATGTCAGTGTTCTATCTTGTTGTTTTTTTTATCATTTATCAGTGGTTCTAGCTTCTGTTCATTGAATCTCCCCCAGCGTGGTGGTTACACTACAAACAAATGTAGTTTCTTAAATAAAATAAAACAGTTTAAAATGTAGCTGCGTACAACCACGTACTACAATTAAAATTGGGCATGAAATGTATACAGATCTAATGTAGTCACAAGGGCATGCTACGACGATGAAGTAGTTACAATGACATGCTACATTTAGAGAGTACAATGATATACTACACTAAGAATGTAGTCACAATGACATGTTACAAAGTAGTCACAATGACATGCTACACTGTGAAGGTAGTTACTGTGACATGCTACAAAGTAGTCACACTGACATGCTACCCTGAGGATGTAGTTACAATGACATGCTACTCTAACAGTGTAGTCACGATGGCATGCTACATTTAGAGATTACCATGACATGTTATAATCAGAATGCAGACACAATGACATACTAGATAGTAGAGTCACAATGCCATGCTACAAAGTAGTCACAATGACATGCTACAAACTAGTCACAATGACATGCTACAAAGTAGAGTCACAATGACATGCTCTCTCTCCTGGTGTCACCAGGTTCAAACCTGCAGTTGTTTGGGTGCAGCGTGTCAGGTGTATTAGCACCTGACCCCTGACCCCTTCAACCTCCCCAGGTGCAATAATAAACCCAGCCTAGAGTTTATCAAACATTGCACGTCCATGAAATGGTCTCGGGGGACTCCGGGATACCCTTGCCAGATGTAAACAGCGGCTGTTGTTTAGCCAGGGGCGTCCCTGCCACTGCTGGGTGTAAACAAGGGTTGTTGTTCAGACAGGGGCGTCTCCATCTGGTGGTTGTTAGGGTTCAGGGTTGGAAGGTGGTTAGGCTTAAGAGATGCGTTGAGACGTGTGTTTATGGGTGTTACTTTTGAGGATTATTCACATTGTTGTGAGGGGGGGGGGTGATTAGTGAGGGGGGGGCTACTTAATTTGGGGAATTACTCGCTTTGTTGTGGGCGGGGTTTGGGGGCGGGTACTTTTGGGAATGATTCTTATTATTCTTGTTGCTGTGGGAGGGGGTTTAAGTTTGAGGATGACTCGCTTTATTCATGAGCGATACCAACTTTTGGACATCCCTCGAAATAACCAATTGTGGGTCTGGTACTGTTTCTTGCATTTTTAACTTTTCGAATTTTCCGTTTCCCGCTCATTTTGTTTTAGATTCTACCTTTTAGTCAATTAAGCCTGTGTATAGAAAATATCTGTTTTTAATTGATTGTATATGGAAATTACCTCTATGTAGTTTGTTTGTGTTATGGAACTATTGTCTTCAAATTAAATGTGTAATCTGGAGTGACTTTATTTTAAAAAACTTACTTGGGATACTTTTCGAAATTCTTCCCATAGACTCGTATAAAAAACATATCCAAGTAAACCTTTGCTGATTTATAGCTGATTTATCGCTGATTTATAGCTGAACTAAACAGCAGCACAAATAGAGAAAATTGCAAACATTTAACTTTATTTATGTAAATATCAGTGATAATTTAAAATGGAATGAAATAACGGAATTAAACGTTCTAGATTGTCTAAAACGACTGCGGTGTCCCTATAAGAGTAAAGGATGATGTTTTAGGAGAGAATTTTATTGAGGATATTCTAGACTCGTCCATGATCACTGACGTTGGACCTCAAAGGAATAACCAATTAACAAACTACGACGTAGAGAAACATGCTCATTTGGTTGTTCCTGACGGTTTTCGTCATTTTACAATGTCTTGCCGCACCAACTTCCGGCGCGGCTCTGACGTCATGGGAAATGACGTCACCTGATCCACTGACATCCGGCACATCTTCAGAGCGTGCCAGCCATGCTGGACTGGCATTAGGATATCACGGTCTTGTCCGTCCTAAAATAGTCGTCAAAACGGCACGAACACCACAACACACGACCGCAGTTACACCACAACACACAGGTACAACACCACAACACACAGGTACAACACCACAACACACAGGTGCAGAACAACACACTGGTACACCACAACACACAGGTGCAACACCACAACACACAGGTACAGAACAAAACACAGGTACACCACAACACACAGGTACAGAACAAACACACAATCACAAATACAACAAACAACAATACGACCACACACCAACAGATACAACACGATACACATCCACCTGTACAACTTAAGACTAGAGGAGCAACACACCCCACGAGCACAGGTAAATAAAGACATTGCAGGTTTATTAAGTCACATGTAATTAATGTAAACTCGATCGTTTATATATATATATATATATATATATATATATATATATATATATATATTATATATATATATATATATATACATATATATATATACATATATTATATATATATATACATATATATATATATATATATATATATATATATATATATATATATATATATATATATATATATCCTCCTGTTGTACTACAGTTACCCTTTCCTCCCCTACACTTGTATTACCTTGACTCCCCTACACCTGTATTACCTTGACCCTAGACCTCTATTACCTTGACCCACCACCTCTATCACCTTGACCCACCACCTCTATTACCTTGACCCACCACCTCTATCACCTTGACCCTCCACCTCTATTACCTTGACCCTCCACCTCTATTACCTTGACCCACCACCTGTATTACCTTGACCCACCACCTCTATTACCTTGACCCACCACCTGTATTACCTTGACCCTCCACCTCTATTACCTTGACCCACCACCTCCCTTGACCCACCACCTGTATTACCTTGACCCTCCACCTCTATTACCTTGACCCTCCACCTCTATTACCTTGACCCTCCCCTCCACCACTATGTTTTGACACTTGCAGCCCCCGAACGCCTCGGGTCGGAGTGCGAATATGACGAGCAGTGTAGCACGAGATTCCCGTCCAGCATTGGCCACAGCACGTGCAGTCCCGCGACCTTGACCTGCGTGTGTCCTAACGGCACCTTCGTCTCCAGAGACGCCAAGGCGTGTGTAAAACGTGAGTACTTTCCCCGGCCATGACACGGGTTGTGTTGATGTTTTGTTTGGTTCATCACCAAAATATGAGCCACAACAAATACGAGGGGCTGAATGTAAGACATTATTGAACTTCGTGTGGAGATTGTATGTGTGTTGTGTGTGAAGATGGTGTGTGTTGTGTGAAGATTGTATGTGTTGTGTGAAGATTGTGTGTGTCTTGTGTGTTGGTTATGTGTGGGATGGTTCGGTTTGTGGTTGACTTAAAACAGATTGCTGTCACAAGTCTAATCGCCGTAAAGCATTTGTCCATCCATAACACAATCTTATCTACCATGACACAATCCACTATCCAATCTAACACAATCCACTATCCACTCTAACACAATCCACTATCCACTCTAACACAATCCACTATCCATCCTGACACAATCCACTATCCACTCTAACGCAATCCACCACCCACCGTGACGGTTGCTCCACCTCTTCCACCAGTCCCCCAGAAGATCGGTGACTACTGCGCAGACGACACCCACTGCTCCAGAATGGCTAACAACACGATCTGCAATACCACCAGCATGACGTCATGGTGTCAGTGCGCATCAGGCTACTTCCTGGATAACAACAGCAGCGCGTGCCATAAACGTAAGTCAGACGGAAGTTGCAGCCGCCAGCGCGCGCCACTTTTCTTTCTTGTTGCCAGAGTTTCTTTCAGGCATCTCTTCGGGGGGGGGGGGGGGGGGGGGGAGGGGGAGGCTCCACACCCCCCCCCCCCCCCCGAACGAAATGAAATTTATATAGAAAACATCGTTTTAACCGCTGTCCGACGCTTCCCCCCCCCCCCGGAGAAAAAAGTCTGGAAGAAACACTGATTGTTTGTTATAATAATTTAAATGTGTTGGGATTTTACCCGTAGTCCTTTATTTAGTCACTGAAACTTCTAAACCCTATAACATGGACCCAGAGTTTCTTTCAGGCATTTCTCCGGGCAGGCGAGTGGCACTGACCTCCCCCCTTCCCCCTCATACCCTTTAGAGCAAGTCCATTGCGCACCCTTTGACGTAACAGAAAACATAAGTTAAATAGAAAATGTATGCTTTAACCAGTGTCTGAGCCAGATTTAATGGATCCCTCCCTCCCCTTGGGAAAAATGACTGAAAGAAACCCTGACCAGTGTCTGAGCCAGATTTAATGGATCCCTCCCTCCCCTTGGGGAAAAATGACTGAAAGAAACCCTGACCAGGGTCTGAGCCAGATTCAATGGCTTCCCCCTCCCTCAGGAAAAATATCTGACAAAAACCCCGGGTCGACCGTGTAGAAAACATTTTTTTCAAACAAATTCAAAACAAGGACGTCAAGTTCATTTTTCCGTAACCACGGCCACAGGCCTCGCGAGGCGGGGGTGGAGGGTGCGGACCGCACTGAGTGACGCCATGTAGGGGGGGGTGACACCCAGACAAAAAAAAAATGCAAAATGTATACAATAATTTTTTTTTGCCAGTTCATTGAATGGTTAATTAGAGTTAAAAAGTATTCCAGGTACATAATGACCATCCCGACGAGGGGTGGGGGGGGGGGGGGGAGTGGGGGGAGTGAGACACCATGACGTAAACATACAAACTATAGATAAAACAATGTTACACTCAGCTGTATAAACAACAGACTATAGATTACCATCATTAGTATTAGATGTGAACTTTTTAAAGCTATTACCTTGGGGGGGGGGGGGGGGGTGACGCTAACTGAAAAATTTACAGAGAAAAAAAGGGGGGGGGGGGGCGGGTGACACCATAAGATGCCTCCACCGGGTGACAACCGACCTAGCGACGCCACTGAATTACGCTTAGCTGTGTGTTCACTAATTCTAGCTGAGTACCCATCACACCTTGAGAGACTCTGGGACCCTCTCGAGTCTGGGATCCGTATTAGAGCAACTCTGCCATGCTCGTCGTTGTCACTTATTTACCAATCTAGGAATTTTTACTTAAAAAAAGAAAAAGTATAGTAAATACTATAAATTGTGTCAAAATATTAATTAAATATTTTATTTAGAGACAAACTACTTAAGTTTAAATTAATAAATAGTGTCAAAACATTGATTTAAATTTTATTTTTAAGACAAACCGCTTGATTTTAAATTAATAAAAAGTGTCAAAAGATTAATTAAATATTTTACATAAAGACAAACTACGTAATTTTAAATAAATAATTAGTGTAAAATATTAATTAAATATTTTACTTAAAGACAAATTACCTAATATATTAATTACGTATTTTATTTAAAAACAAACTTCCTCTTGTCTAGAGTTAATCCACAACAAAGTCACTCTATAGTTAGTTCATAGAACCTAAGATAACATGAAATGAATACAGATCATCTCTGCTACGAGCAAGTATCAAAGGGCGAATAATAAAAGCACTTGACAATTGGCTAGAGTTATCTCGCGTAGGAACGTGAATGCGTCCATACCACTTGACGCGATCTCTCGGTACAGGTGGGTTTGTGATTGCTCCCAGATTTAAACCTTGGGCCCCTAGTCTTGCTACAGATGGGTTTGTGATTGCTCCCAGATTTAAACTTTGGGGCCCCCTAGTCCCGGTACAGATGGGCTTGCTCTATACATGACCTTGGGCCCCTAGTCTTGCTACAGATGGGCTCGCTCTATACATGACCTTGGGACCAGTGGCGTAGCCAGGATTTTTGGGCCCCTATGCAAAAAGTGTTAGTGGGCCCCTCATAGGCGTAGCGACCCTTCCCGGCGACCGGGGACAAACTTTCGATTTGCACCCCCCTCCTCAGACTTTCGATTTGCACCTCCCCCCCCCTCAGACTTTCGATTTGCACCCCTCCCCCCTTCTCAGGCTTTCGATTTGCACCCCCCCTCAAACTTTCGAAAAAGGGCCCCTATTTGCCTTGGGCCCTATGTCTTGCTTACGCTAGCTTTACAGTAGCTACGCCACTGCTTGGGGCTCCTAGTATTGGTACAGATGGACCAGCTATTGCATTGCTCCCCAGATTTAAATCTTGGGGCTCCTTGTATTGGTACAGATGAACCAGCTATTGCTCCCAGATTTAAATCTTGGGGCTCCTAGTATTGGTACAGATGGACCAGCTATTGCATTGCTCCCAGATTTAAATCTTGGGGCTCCTAGTATTGGTACAGATGGACCAGCTATTGCATTGCTCCCAGATTTAAATCTTGGGGCTCCTAGTATTGGTACAGATGGACCAGCTATTGCATTGCTCCCAGATTTAAATCTTGGGGCTCCTAGTATTGGTACAGATGGACCAGCTATTGCATTGCTCCCAGATTTAAATCTTGGGGCTCCTAGTATTGGTACAGATTGGCGACTGATTGCTCCCAGACATGAACCTCCAGAGGCGTAGGGAGGGGGGGGGGGCAGGGGGGGGGGACATATGTCCCCGGGCGCTGACCTTAGGGGGCGCCAAATTGAAAGTTTGAGAGGGGGGCTGTAAATTAAAAGTTCGAGAGGGGTGCAAATCGAAAGTTTGAGTGGGGGGGGGGGGGGGTGCAAATGAAAAGTTCGAGGGAGAGGGGTGCAAATCGAAAGTTTGTCCCCGGCGCCGTGTAGGGTCGCTACGCCTCTGTGAACCTCTCTGTGTTTCTTTCAGACTTTCTCTCTGCGGTTGGGGCGACATTGGTAAAAGTATATTATTTTTAATATAAATTATATTTTGTTCACCGGGATGGGGGGGGGGGGGGTAGACAGTCTTCACATGACATGCATTAAATTTTATCTTTTTGTGTTTAACATGCTGGTTTTGTTTTTCTACAACCCCCCCCCCCCCCACCCCCCACACCATTCTACAGTCCCAACAGCTCTGGGTGACGTGTGTAATCAAAATGAGCAGTGCAGCGTCAACATTACACACAGCTCGTGTGAGCGGGGGCGTGTGTACTTGCCGGTATGGTTATGAAAGAAAGAACACGGACAACCGCTGTACTGAAAGTAAGATTTAAAATAGACTCTTATATTTTGTTAAGTACATTTTTAAAGCATTTAATTTATATTTTATCTTTTTTGTAACTATTTAAGGAGGCTTTTATATTTTGTTAGAACTCTGTTAAGTAATTTTTAAAAATTATTTATAATTTATCGTTTTTTGTACTTGTTGTTATTTTAGTTTAGAATTTATGGACGATCTTGCCTAGGCAAGTGGTATTAAGGGGGTTGGCTCCGGGAAAAAAACGAGGAAAAAAACGTATTAATTACTAATCCTTTTTTTTTAAATTTATTTGTGTACGTATAAGTTAGGGTATTTAAAGGGAAATATTTGCATGTACCAGGGACGCTTCTAAAATTTACCCACGAATTTTTTTCCAAGATGGCCGCCGTTTCCATGGCAACTATATTTTCAAAAGAGTCTCTGATGCTTGCACATATTTTCCTTTAAATACCCTAACTTAGATATCCACAAATAAATCAATAAAACGTTTTAATTAAGAAGTTGTTTTTTTTCTGGAGCCTACCCCCTTAAGAATAGAGGGGGGGGGGGGGGTTATCCACAAATGACGTCACGCTTTTTTGACGATTTTTTTTACCTCTCCCCCCCCCCCCCCTTTCTTTTGTCACACATCGTCTCAAAAGCCAGACCCCTCCACTAAAATGACGTCACATCTCAGCGTACTAAACCCTCAAAATTGCAGTTTAATTTTTCTTAAACCAGCTATTTATTGACTAAGCTCAGTCAGCGTAGATTATTTTCATCAATTTCTATTACAATGTATTAAAACATTTTTCTCAAACGCGAAATAACGGCTAAAAATAGTTATTAGTTTTCTAGCATTACGTTTTTTTTAAAATGCAAAAGTGTGAAGTCACCCAATCTGAACACCCCCTTCCCTTCATCACACACCGTCACAAAATTATTTACTGCTACCCTACGCGTGACGTCATTTGTGTACGACCTCCATATATGGGCATTTTATTATTTTTAGTCGCACCCCCCCCCCCCCCACTCCATGACCAATCCCACCTAACCTACTCCTCTGTTCCCCAGGGTATAAGCACAAACTGGAACCCTTTGACGTGCCCAGAGCCATAAACTGCAGCACCACCAACCCCACCCCCTGCAACAGTTGGAACAGCAGCATCTGTGACGCGCAGGCCGGCGAGTGCCGGTGTAAACACAGATCCGCTCTCAAAGACAACAAGACGTGTGTCTGTGAGGAACTCTTTTGTGTCGGAACATTATTTGTTTAAAAAAAATAAAAACAACAACTGCACGATAGGGCTACGGAACAAAACGTCTACGGACTTGAACTAATTAGGGACCATGCACATTACACAGATACACAAATACTATTTGTTTAAAAAAAACAACTGCACGATACGGCTACGCATCAAAATGACTAAGGACCTGAACTAATTAGGGATCGTGCATATATTATAAAACATGCACACACAAACACATATTTTTGTTTTCCCACAACACAACCCCATCTAAAGTAAAAAGGTTCTTGCAAACACGTGATTTGGTCACATGATACTGATTTGCGGCGCCATTTCGAGGAACATGGCCAATCCTCTTTCTACTACTTCTGGATGCTAGTATGTTTTAAACTTGTATTGCCACATATTACCACCCTCGAGATAGATTTTCTATAAAATATACAGTTAGTCATACGTCTAGTGCTACTTCATTAACATGTGTCAGTCTATTCATCCAGCTATTCAAAACAAGAAAAATGTTACCTAAATAAAAATGAATTGGCCCGTATAAAATGCATTTTTTTAAATAGAACTAGACCATCCCTCCTCATATATGGGACGACGTGGCCTAAGCGTAGAGCGCTAGAATGCATAAGCCGAAAGTCTCGAGCTCGAATCTGGGTACCTATCTCGTGTTAGGGAAAGTAAAGGCAGCTTCATATGCTGAGGTCAAGAAACATGTGAATTCTACATCATCTGCCTAATGGATTCTTTACTTTATCCCTCCCAGTATAATTTTTTATAATACAACTTTACTACATAACAAACCACACCCAATGTTATATGCAATATGTGCTGCTTCCCTTTATAATCTAACAAAAAATATATGTTATAACTTGATTTCTGACACATTTTTAAAATTATTTCTTAAATATCTTAAACAAATTCTGAATGTAACGTTGTTGTTTTTTCGCAGCCGTACAGACCTACAAGATAACTCTAAATTTTACTTCCATATTATTATTATCAAACGATCCATACGACTACTTCCCCTTCAACTACAGCGAAAACTACGGTAACTCTTCACACCCTGAGTACAAAAAATTAGCAGCCAGGATTACAGAACTAGGGGTATGTTCATTTGTTATGGTGTGGCATGGATACTGGATATCGTATGGGGTAGAAGATAGTTGGGTTGGATAACTGCAAAATGGATCACTGCCTTAGATATGTAGTAGGCCGATATTAGCATAGCTAAAACTACATTAGTCTAGGGTAAAAACTATCTTATAGCCTTATGGTTTTGCAAACTAGCAGAGTACCTTTCAGGCCCTGCCCCCTCCTCCCGTCCACACCGATATAAATTGAATGTATATAGAAAACAAACTTTTATCAGTGCCCCCCCCCCCCCCCCCAAATATTAAGTGCCCCTTCCCCTTAGAGAAAAAAGTCTGTATGAAACACTGTAGACTAGTAGCATTAATAAACTACAATACTTTAGTAACACTGGTGGTATATATAATCTAGTGATACAATGGATCTCGCATAGTATTTTGGCATAAATAAAATAAATTAGTGGCATTAATGCCATATGGATATGTCATCTATTAACTGAACTTCATTAGTGTTGTGGCATAAGTACCCGATGGATATGTAATCTATTAGCATAAGTAAACTACATTTTAATAGTTGCATTAATGCCCTAAGGAAAGGTAGTCTATTAGCATAAGTAAACTACATTTTAGTATTTGCATTAATGCCCTTACAAAATGTAGTCTATTAGTATAAGTGAACTACATTATAGTAGTTGCATAAATGCCCTAAGAAAATGTAATCTGTTAGCATAAGTAAAGCACAATATTGGCATTAATGCCTTATGGATATGTGGTCTTTTATTAGCATAACTGAACTGCATTAGTTAAGTGGTGTAATTGCCCTAAGATAGGCATACTAATGAAAAGCAGAGGTAAAATATTCACCTAATTACAATAACTCTTAGTATATTTGAACATACATGCATTTTCTTTTTTTTATTTCTAGTTGAAGAACATGTTCAATAGTTCAAAGCACAGAGATCGCTATGTGTCCAGCGAGGTGGTCAGCTTAGACCCATCCAGTAACACAGGCACTGGGGTGCTGGCCACAGTGCTACTCCACCTCACCCCGCTAGCAGAAGATTACACAAATGTCACCAAGTTGGCCGAAATTATACAGATGTTTACCTCAGATTTTCAAGCGTAAGATTAAAAAAAAAATGTGTCCATTATTTTTTTTTTTTTTTTTACATTTTCTTTCAACCTATGTTCACAGGAATGAATTTCTGTAACTCAAAATCATGTGAGTTTTCATTTTTTTTTTTCCTGAAATGTTCACATTATTTACTAGGTAAGGGATGATTCATATACTACATCATAGAAGAAATGTGAAAAGTGTGAAGCTTTTGTAATAAGGGTTATAAAATCACTTTTTTAAACTGCTACGAAATTTTATCAAATAATATTATATTGATTCAGTTTTGTTAAGATTTCCATTTTTAAGATTAAATTAATTTATGGTAAGGTTTATCTTGCAAGGGGAGACTACTCAGTTAATTTTTCCTGGCAAATTCGTCATTCCTTGGTTATATCCCCTTAAAGAATTTAATTTGTTTCATTTCTCTAACACCCCCATTAAAGTCAAGAGTGAAGTAATTTAAAGGAGAAGGCCTTGAATTTTTTTGATGATGAGGGGAGAAGGAGGAGTAAATCTCGTCTAAAAATATAGCATCTTTTGTCAATCTGAAATTTTAAATTAAAATCTTATTTACATAATAATAGGACTACAAATAATTGTTTATGTGACCTAACTTGTGACCCTAGTCATTCTATGTCAACTACTTCAATTGATCCACCTTCCTTGGTGAAAGCTAGGTGAAAGAATCAATTCTTTAAAAAGTATAACTAAATATGATATACAAAGAAACAAAAGATAATAGGCTTAATCTATCTTTTTTTTCTTTCATTTATCTCACAAAAGCAACAGTAAGGAAAGTGTACTTGGAAAGAGCTTGATAAAAGTTAAAATGCCATTCAACAGTGCACATGTTGCAGGTATGAAATTTAATCCTCAAGTAAGTAAAACATTGTAATTATAGAGTAATAATCGTTAGTTTAAGACTGAAATCCCAACATGGAAAGTCTTAGTTAAAAGTTGGTATAGCATTAAGTTATCAGGAAAAACAGATGAAGACATAAAATGCAGAAAAAACCTAGCCAGACAGGCAGTTGTTAATCATCAGGCAGGAAATCATCAAACACCTCTATATAAACTAAAATAATCTCTAACTCAAACGTAAAAGGCAGCAACAAAAAGAATCCAGACTTTTATTAATAGGTGTCTAAGGAGTATATTAAAAAATAAAATGGCAAGACAAGGTAGAAAACACAAAACCATGGGATATGTGTGGACAGGAAACGATAGAAAGGCAAATCATGGAGCAGAAATAGCGATGGATTGGCACACACTTATAAAGGCTGGCGAGCGATGAAGGGGTCAACTCAGGAAGACATGGTGACGTAGCGTACTGGCGGAGGCTGAAAGGATAGAAAGGAATAAGGAAAAGCTAAAACAAGTTGCAGGAGACCATGGAGATTAATAAGCTCTGACAGAGGCCCTATTTCCTGCAAGGTTTAGAAACAATGCTTATGCGAGAGTTCAGTGACAGCTTGACAGCCAAACACATCTACCCAGCAGGATGTTAGAGAAATGATTGGTTGATAGAATTAGATTAAACCTGGATTGGAATTTAACAAAATGCTACACAACTATTTTCCTTGGTTTGGTTTATTTAATTCAGAAAAATGATACTTTTTATCAGCCATTTAATAGTACTGCAACCTTTTGCTAATATACAGTGCCATCTAACATTTAAAGGTGTTCTCTTTCAGACCCGCCTGTGATGTGTGAATTTAAGTAGTTGGGATGCTATACATATAAATATTAGTAGTGGTATATATATATATATATATATATATATATATACATATATATACACATATATACATACATACTTACATAATTGACTGACTGTTACAGTGTTTGATACATGAATGGTAGAATGGTAAAAATATAAAAGTTTTATCTATTTATTATTGAAATCTATACCACTATTTGGATCATGCAGATTACAATGAGTGTTCCTCTAAAGAAAGAAATGACTGTGATGTGAATGCCAATTGCCTCAACACTCTGGGCAGTTTTATGTGCGTGTGCAAGCCAATGTACGATGACATGGCTGAAAAACACAACATACACACCCGAGGGAGAGTATGTAAATGTACGTAATTCTTTTATAATATTTATATTTCTTCATTAGCTTTGTTACATGCTTTTATTTAGCATGCGTCCTCTGTCTAGATCAAAACGGGTGAGCAAAATTTCTGGCACTTATAACTGACACATTTCAAACTTAATATGTGGGTCACGACTTGGTGACAATACATTATTACACTAAATTTGACTTAATTCAATGCCTAATTAATTTTTTATGAATCGATTGAAATTTTCTTAAATTAGTAGGTTGATTTGTACAACATTTCCCTCACTATTGTATGCACATTATGATGTTCATTTGGTGCGCAATAGTTTTTAGTCATGCAACTGTATTGTAAATACAAAATTTAAATTACTGAAAAAAAAAATTGCAAAAAAAAAAATGATATAATAACAAGCTTCTATGTAACAATGCACTACAAAGGAGAAAATAAATGATTTTAAAAAAAAAAAAATAATAATACACTACTATTTAAATGACTAAAGAAAAGCTCTAATACGTCTTCCGTATTTAGAATACTTTTTTAATATTGTTTTATAACCTAGGGTAGTAGCTAGTTGAATCAGTTAATTTATGTGTGTATCTTTTGTATGTATTTATATATCAAATAGAGTAAATTAATGTAGTAAAAGTAAAAGATTCCCTTTCAAACCTGACGGTCTATGGGGCAAGTGAAGTAGAGTTCACTTGTTTCTGTGACCTCGGCATATGAAGAGATAGTGTGGTCAGCACTAAGCCCAAGTTAATGTAGTAGCTTCTACATAATCTATAACAGATATTTTAAGAACTTAGCTGTAAATATGACTATACTCAGTGTGCCTTAACTAATCCACAGTACCTTCTGATGATAGGAAACAGGGCAGTGACGTGTAAGTGTAATACCTGTTAAAAACAACAGTTAAATCGCAACATCACTTTTTATTCTATTGTATGGACATTTATGCTATTAAAGCAGAATTAATTAAAGGTCATCTTAACTGTAAAATAAAACACTTTAAACGAGAAAATTATTTCTGCTTTTTTAAACCTGCAAATAATTTATTCCAGATGTTCCTCTGATCATTGTACTATAAAATGGGAATGTAAGTATAAAAAACAGCTATATCAGCTGAATTTCAATAATTGATGTCATCTATTCATCTGTTTGAATCTCTCTTTGAGTCTTTATCAACCAAAATTATATTGCTCCAGTTTTGCTAAGATTTCCATTATTTAAGATTAAATTAATTTGTGGTTAGTTTTATCTTGCAAGGGGAAATTACCCAGTTAATTTTTCTGACAAATTCTTATTCTTATAGCTAAATTTGGTTTATTCATAACAATTAATAGCATTTTGTACCTGTATTGTTTTATTTACATTATTGAAATCATTGTAGATGTTGCCTGGGCTTTGACACTTTTCTTACTGCTAATACTGGCTTTTATCACATATGAAATCTTTCAAAGGAAAGAAGACTTTTCTGCCAGGTAGGTCTACCTTTTTTTCCATTTGAAAATAATGGTTAGTAATTCTAATTTAGTATGATTAGAAACTCATGAGAAGATTTGCTATACCCCCTATATTTAATTGTGTCTTACGTTTAAAATAAGCAGTCACTTGTAAAGATAAGAAATAATTTATAGATACACCTCATAAAACATTGGTAAGAGGTTCTGCAAATATTTCATGTAGAAGTAACAAAGTTAGGCATGTGTACTACCTAAAATAAAACATTCCATTATTTTTCTGTCTAAGGGACAACTCCCGCATGGAATTTGTCTATTCTATTTTTAATGGTTATTTCCCTTGACACATTTATTTTTTTTTGTTTAGATTTAGAATTGTTGAAGTGCTGTCATATCATGAGTTGATTAATCAAGCACGAGCAAAAAATGTTTATTGTTCATTTAAATTGATGCCATTTTTTAAAGGAAATTGTACGAGAAATTTGGCACAACAAAAATTAGAAAACTAAGGCAAGCAAGCATGAGAAGACTGCAAGAAAGCAAGAGAAAGAAGCAAGAAGAAAGCAAATTAAAGAAAGAGGAATTGAAAAGGAAAAAAGAGGAAAGTAAAAAGAAAAAAGAGGAAGAAAAGAAGCAGAAAACAGAAGGAAAGAGCACTAAAGTTAAAAAAGGAAAAAAGAAAACGGATGCAGATGTTGAAGGTATTGACCCTAGCTAAAATCTAATTTCACAGAGAATACAAAAAGATACGTAGAAAATTATTTTAGATCGAATTTAAAAGCCACAACTGTGACATCTCAGCAATGAATCCAAAAGAGTAGATTTTGTTTCTTAAAATAATTAACATGATAATAAAAATCTCAACTTGTTTTTCCAACTACTGGTGAAAAATTCTGTTCTTCTTTCCATTTCTAGTATTCCTGTCTTTTAATTCCCATATATAAATTATAAGGTGTTTTTTGGTTCTCCATTTTTTTTTATCCTTGTGAATTCCTGATGATGTATTAATACTCCTCAACATATGGCCTATCCCTCTCCACCTTCTTTTCCCAATCTTAGCTTCACTAGCCAGATACTTTCCCATAGTGCTGTGTTAGGTACTTGTAAAACTAATTCATAATAAATATTTGCGGCAAGCAGCTCAGCTGTTTTATATATTTATAAGTCTTCCAGTCCCCCCTTGTTAATCATTTATTCATCATTATCCCTGTGGACCCCTTATGGAAACAACCACACTTCTCCATCGTACTCAGTTCTGGGCGATTTCTCCAAATTGAGCCCACATCGTTCCTGCTGCTTCTGCTACAGCTGACATTTTCCACGTTTGTTTTGGCCTAACTTATTTTCTCTTTCCTTGGGGATTCCAGTCTAGAGCCTGTCTGTTGATGTTGCTCAGTTTGTTCAACAGTTCAGCAAAACAGTGATTGCCATACACCAAATAAACAGATTTTACATTAGAAGTTCTTATTAGCAAAAGGCTAATAAGAACAAATAAAGTTTTGTTCTAATAGAACAAAACTTTATTTGTTCTTATTAGCCTTTTGCTTAGACTTACAGCTCCATATATATTCAATCTCGATTTGTTTGAGATATTGGGGTTTAATTTTGGAACAGATCAATACATTAGACAAACTAAAACAACATGAGTTTCAAATCCCGCTAGTTCATGGTAAAGGTATGCACCAGTGCAGAAAATTCTTCATCCTATTGCAACCTGGTTTATGAGCTTTAAAAAAAAAAGATTATGCCCATTATTATAAAAGAGATTTGGTTTATATAGGTCCTGTTTACAAATTAAAAAAATTTCTTTCTTCAATTTCAATCTTAACTCTTTGAATACTTAAATTTAGATTATCTGCGTTCTATAAAGATCTCATCATTCATTGAGAATTACAAAAAAAAACTGTCTTTAAAATCTAATGTGCTATAGAATTCTCAAAGCAGACTATTTCTTTTCAGATGTTGAAGAAATTCCTGAACCTGGCCTGGTGGAGATCATATACCCTCCATCCATCCCTTTTGCTGGTTCAGAAAGTGTGGATGTTGACATTACCAATTTGCCAGGGAATATGGACATCACAATAGACAGACAATCTGTAATTGAAGAGTCATCTGTTTGAAACAACAGAGCAGAATAAAATCCAGGAAACCAGTCTCAAGACAATATTTTTGTGCCTTCAATTGCTCTCTTGTACAGAGCTGTATTAAATTGTAGAAATGGCATCCCTACACATATTTGCAGCAATTTATTAAGGAAACTTCAGATGTGGTGTGGGTAAACTATCAGTGCTGTTAAAAAATTGTACTAATATTTCTTTGAATTTTAACTACAAAAGTTTTAGAGAATGTTGAAAATTCTAGACTATTTCTCAAGCTGTATTGTTTAAAATTAAGTGGTTTCTAGCTATTCAATTAAGAGACGAAAATTTTGTGATGATGAATGCCTATAACCCTGTATTTATTAAATTTATATTAGGAAACAGGAAAAGTACATAAAATTTAATCCAAATGAAGTTGCCCTTGCTGTAAATGTACATATTGTTAGGGAACTACGTGTGTTTACTAATGACATTGCTTTAGAATGGAGCCATGCTGTAAAATTAAATTTACGGCTCACAAGATAACATGCATTCCACAGATGTTTTGACTGAATTTGTACTGTATGTACAGTACTGTTCTTCGTATGTAATTGAATAGAGTATTAGTGTGCATTGATTTGTCCTGAAATTAAATTATTTCAAAATATGAGCATTGTTGATTTTTTTTTAAACAAGTCACCACTGGTATTTGCAGCTGAATAGACCTCTTTCAATTTTAAAATCACGAAATCCAAAATTGCTAGAATTCAGACAATGTGTTTAAAAAACAAGCAACTCAGTTATCTCAAGAACAGACCTGAATTTATTATAACAGCCCTAACTAAACAGGGTTGCCACCAAACAGATTCTGTATAACAATCACACTTCATTTAATATTGGTCTACAAATAAAATACAGCCAACTTTTACAGTACAATTCAGTGTACACTGAATACAGAAAACTTTCACACCCATGTCTTCCAAATAAAGACAATTTGACCCTTGGAGTTGCATTGCTAGGAGAAAGCTTTGTGTGGCACCTCTACAAATTCAGTTATGAATGGAAGGAAGAACAAAGTGCTTAACAGATGATACTGAATTTATTTACCATTAAAGTTCTTTATCACAATTTACAAAACCAGTACCATGGTATGTAATGGTGAAATATCCCATGACTTCTACACTAACAATGCACAACCGTCAGTCAGTCAGTGTCACGTCTAGTAGGCAGTTACAACACTGGGCGCAATTCTTAACTTTGATGCAAGTTCTTAACTAACAACTACTTTAAAATCTGAATAATCCAACTTTAACTATTAATAAATTAAAAAATAAAATCGTCCTTCCCCCCCAAACTGTCAGCATGTATCCTTGGTCTATGCCCAATTTATTACAGAATTGTGTATAGAATTCACTTGGTCTCTTTCACACAACATACCTTAATGTGCAAACCATTAGCATACAATTTTTTTTTATAAAGTTTAGTTCAAGTTGCTAAGTTTTAAACATGAAAAATTTGAATTCTAATCCTGCTATTAGCTTGTTAAAATGCAAACAGGAGCAGGAAGGCCATCATCAGGCAAAACAGACCCATAGCTTCAGACAAAGCAAACCCCAAAATGGCAAAAGAGAAAAGTTGTCCTTTCAAAGATGGGTTGCGTGCGTAACCAATAACAAGACTGCCGAATACACTGCCAATTCCAGCACCTAAGAAATCAGAAAAACAAGTTACAACAAAGAATATAAAAAAAAAAAGGCAAAGTTTTTAATTAAAACAAGTCATCAGTGGTTCCATGTACAGCAGCCATCATGGTAATTATGGGAAGTACAGTTTTTCATCATGTTAACTATTAAAGAAATAAAACAAACAGAAATTATATTACCTGAGCCAGCCACACCAACTGTTGCAGCACCAGCTCCAATGTATCTGGCAGCCTGATCAATATCCTTCTGAACAGCACTGGTCTGGAAACTTCTGATCTAATAGCACAAAAAAAAAAAAACCCCATGGTTAAACAATACTCTGAACAGGCCTATATACACAAACTGGATCAACTTCTATTAGTTACATAAACATCACTTTTAAGTCAACCTAGAAAAATTTATATTACACAGGTTAAAAGAATGAAATTTCTACTGCATGACTCCTGAATACAAAATTGTACAGGATCTAATGAGGAAAACTTAGAATCGCAACAATAAAATTAATAACTTAGAATTGCTACATTAAAATACAGGTGGTTAAAAATTCCCTCAGTTAAACAAAAACCTGGTAAACTAAATATATGAAATTCACATTCAAGTAAAGGGCAAATGCTACAGAAAAACGTTTTTCCATCAGAAAACATGCATATACACCAACGCAAGTGTATGCTGAAGAAAAAAAGGTGAACTGAAAGGTGAGACAAAGGTCAAGGTCACATTTAAAATTCTCACATCCCTACATGTTATCAAATACTTTGAGAAAGAATGCAAATACACATCTGAATTTTCGTAGAAAATTTAAATTTTGTACCCGTGTTTGACAGTTTGTAGGTTAAAAGGGCACCATAGAACAATCCCGACCTTGATAAGAGACAGCGGAATACCTTAGTTTTTAACTTTCGCAGATGCGTGTCAGGCAACTATCAGAGTTGGGTAAACGCTGTGATATTAAGGACTTTAACCAGAAATTCAGCCTCGACCACTACAGGTTATCTATGATCTACCATTTGACCATGCCGCCTTACAATTATTAAATTCTGTTCAAAACTAAGTCACATGGGACTTGTAGCAATCTATGATACTAGGTAGAGGTGAAATAATGAACAAAACACAAGATAACCCATTCAAACAAAACAAATTTATCAGGTGACCACTAACCACATAAACAAGAAACCATAGTCATTTTTTAAAATTATATCTTTAAAAAAAATAAATAAAAAGGGTGTGTGTGTGTGCATGTGAGGGAGGAATGCATACACATACATTAAATTCACACCTATACTGTAGTGGAAAAGAAAAACTAACCTGGTTTACAAGTGATGAAAAACTTGGAGATTTGGCTGCTAGGTTAAGAGCACTGACTCCACTGTAGCCTGATAAACTAGCAGTTGGCTGTGACTGAAATTGTGTGCAATGATTATTAATAACAGGAAAAAAAAATGTAAAGATTAAGAGAAATTAGCATTAACAAGTTTCATCAGTGGTTCCATGTACAGCAGCCATCATTAAGGTCTGGATTTGTAAATAATATCATCATATGAAACTAGAACAAGAAATCTAAGCAGTTGATACTCTCCTTACCTCATTTTTAACAATGACAGTGCTTCCTAGTGGCCTCAATGCTGAACGACTAATAATGCTCTGTAAAACAAAAAAAAAGAAAATTATTTAATAACGTCCAAAAGCCTGGTTCATAACAGAACTTGCAGAAGTTACATTGTAGTAAGTTACCCATATTAGTCTTGCTACTAAATTCTTTATGGCATGAACAAGGGGTCAAAAAGGTTATGGTTGGTTATATAGGCCTACTCGACTGCCTGTGTAATGACCTGTTAATTATATTTTTGATTTTGAGGTGACTGATTTTTTTTTTTAGAACAAAATAACTCTAGAGCAAATTACACTGTCCGGACACACACCGCGAAAAAACGCAACTTAAAACTTCCATGCGGTCTCATTCAGTAACCGCATAACATAGGAAGGAAAAAAAAGTATCATATCTATCCGCAATAATTCTACTTTAATAATGTGTGTGTCATTTTGTATTCATACGCATAGAACTTTAGCTATTCTTGTTATAGTGACTGGGGGGTCTTAACATGTGTTCGGACACATGTAATACAATTTCAAATGTGTTCGGACACCTTTACCCGTCATCGGACAAAGCACTTTTTGTTCATTTAGAATAATTTAAAGTCAATTTAATGAATAAAAACATATATTATATGCATTTATATTGTGTTATTGATTGTTTGTGAGGTAATTTTAATAGTATAAAACCCTTTTCCCACACTCCCAAAGTTCATCCCATTCAGCCATTGCGGCTCGCGCAGTACGCTGCTAAGCCAGCCAGGTCACATGATTCCCCCTCCTCTTTCGCATTCCACTGCCTTCTTGACCTTATTTTGACCCTTTCCCTTCAATAACCAGCCCCTTTTATGCTCTAAATTCTTATTTAATAATATTTTTGTGTTGCTGTCCGGTCCCATGTAAGGTCAAAAAAGTTAGCGAACACCCCTTTTTTATTGTTCAAGCACAAAATAACCCATTAACCTTGACATTTACGATGTTCCATACATATATAGAAGCTATTTATAGTGTAACCTTTTAGCTAAGCGTTGATTGGTTCAAGTTTTGCCCCTAAGTCCAACCCTAGGTCACTTCATCCGGCTGGTGTAAAAATAGAAATGTGCGTACCATGCAACGTTAAAAATTTTCTAAAAATAATTCTTGAGAGAGGAAACGAAAGTACTTGACACGGAAGTGTTCATAAATGAACAGTTTACGTGCAGGCGTCGTGGTTTCGCATGAGACATGCTAATTAAAGTTTCTATGAGCCAAAAACCGACGAAGTGTTCGGTCCCACGTAGTGTTCGGACAATGTAATTTGCTCTAGTAAAATTACTGGCTTTGGCTACACAACACAGTAGGGTCTATCAATTCAAAGTAATAAATCAGAATTGACAAATTTGACCAAGACAAGAATGTCCTTGAATAACCCTTTTCCACATACCTCACTATGACATAGTAGTACACAAACAAATTGAGAAAATGCATTTATATAACCTAAAACATTAATTTGTATAAGCTTTATGCATCATGAAAGTACCTTTTTAAGCAATCAAACCAAATCAACTTAATAGAAAAATAGGTTGAATAGTCTCAAGACAAATTCCTTCAAAACAAAGTTCTGAGCAATTAAAAGCCAGCTTCTTGATCCTAATATTATAGACAATAGATATTCTGCCAAGGACATTAGATTTCTCGACCTAGACAGTTTAATTCAGTAATTCTGGTTTCTCTAAAGTTCTTTTGGTGTAGATCTAGCTCCCAATAGCTCATGAATGTATTTTTAAAAAATTTAATTAGATCTAGATATTAATCTACATCTAGATCCAATATATATGCCACACACTGGCATTTTTGCAGATGCAAAACAATACTGATCTTCATTGTAAATACTTCTTGTATCAAGTCAACTATTCTCAAAGTGAAAAAGGTCATTCTAGGTCACTGAAACAGAGGATTTGGGGTACATTTTCCTTAATCAAAACTCCATATTTGTATTTCTACCACAGCGTATTATGAAACTGGAGGCAAACTGGATTAAACAACTTGACATTAATCAGCAGGCTGATTACTTGACTACATAAAGTAAAAACCTAGACTAAATCTCTGTGTACTCAAGTGACTCCATTGAAGTCTAGTTTCTACAGTGATGAATTTTACAATTAACACTTTCTAATACAATGAAACTGACAAAGTTATAAAATGAACATTAGCTAGCATTAACTAAAATGCGATTACTTACCAGGCATCTAGCTGAAGGTTGGGCGAATTTTGCACAAGCATACATGATTGATTATGGTTGTTAGGTCGTCGAACCTGCAATACAAGCCGGTAGTTTCAAGTTTTATTGGATATCACAGCAATTTATAACGAAAGTACAATAATTTAACTTTGATATGTTGTGCAAAAGTCTTTAGATATATTACACTAACACAAATCACTTTAATTTCTTACAGATGACCTAAAGTATCAACGATATACGACTGATTTGATATCTACCTACAAAGCTCCAAGGGCCAACCTAGAGGTGAAAACGAAGGAGAACCTGCTACAGCGCATGCGCGTCTAGTCACGGGGATATCCGTTATCGTCACAAAAATATCAATGTTAAAAACGAGTCAAATTCATTTCCCTAGCCTAGCAGATGACAGAGCAAGGTCCTAATTCTGTTATAAATAAAATATTGAATACTACACATTTAGTCTAAATTAAATAAAAACAGATTTTTTTCATCGATTACAAAAAATCACCTTTATAAAGCGGGCAAACGATTCAAAGAAACCTTGATTTTAATATCCAAATACTTTGTTACTTTGTAGTATGTGTGCAGATCGATACGGCTAAGGAAATTGTGGTTAAAAAGAATTTAGGGGTCGTGTATGCCCAACTTTGCTAAAAATAATGCTATTTCTGCGTATTTTAAACAGAAGAAATTGGAACAATCGTAATATACCACAACCATTCAAGAGATTATAGTATGCTAAATTTGATTACCCCCTCTTCCCCCCAGTGTTTCTTCCAGACTTTTTTCTCCGGGGGGGGGGGGGCACTTGAAATTTTCGGGGGGGGGGGCGGTAGACTTTCTTCGGGGGGGGGGCGAACACTGTTAAAAGTATATATTTTCTATATAAATTATATAAATTTCATTCCGTTCGGGGGGGGGGGGTAAAAAAAATTCGGGGGGGGGGGGGGGGCTTCGCCCCCCCCCCCCCCGAAGAGATGCCTGGAAGAAACGATACACAACTCAATGTGGCAGGCCTACTGAAAAAAATATTGTAAGATATTTTAAAAATCACATAATTTTATAAATAACAATTGTTAAATTTTAATTAAAAACAGAAATTTTAAAGCCCTTAATTGTGTTAAAAAAAACATAGATCTAGGTCAAAGTATCGGCAAATTTATTTTTTAATCCAATAAATGAATATATTGATATATTGATATAAAGCTACTAAATATGTTGATTTTCGCTATATTTTTTTCTTACATGCCTTTTGATTATATTTCCTGAAAATGTTTAATCAGGCTATGTTGTGATCTAATTCAAGGGAAACAACTGCGTATCAAATCTCTACAAAAACAAAATTACTGTGCATGATCTACCTTGAAAATGGAAACTATCTCTGCATGACTGGGGTGTTTACTTTTACAAGCTTTTACTTTTACTCACTTCGCAATGTCTGTTTGTTTGTTGTTGTTGTTTTTTTGTTCGTGGGTTTGTGGCAATTTAGACCCACTTATAAATGCACTGAAAATAAGAAAATAAAACTAATTTGCGTTATTTAATAAAAGCTTTGGTCGCTCTTGAAATCTTTTACATATTTTAGTGATAAAAGTTTTTATGAAAGAAAGCTAATTAGTTTTATTTTCTTATTTTCAAGGCATTTAAAAGCTTGTTGCAAGAAAGGCTTTTTATATTTGTTTTATTGAGTTCTTCACTCCTTGTAGTTGTTAAGGCAAAAACCTACTGATTATATAAAAATGTGTGTATAAAATAAATAAAAAAACTTCACAAACTTAACATAATTTATACAAGAAGAAAAAATTGGATAATCGGAAAAGGGAGGGTGTAAAATTTTAAAACTAGATCTAAATTAGTCAGAGTTTCTTCCAGGCATCTCTTCGGGGGGGGGGGGGTGTCTACCACCCCGAACGACATGGAATTTATATAGAAAACATACTTTTACCAATGTTCGCCTCCCCCCTCCCCTCTCGGAGAAAAGTGTGGAAGAAACAATGAAACTAGTCTAAACATAAATTGACGATTACAGCTGTTGATAATATAAAATTAACCAGGGCGGGTAATTAGTACCACGGGCACCTTTTACCCGTCATTGCATGTAGCCTACTACAAATCAATTTCTGCTTCACGTTTGTAATTGGTGAAGTTCACCAAACAAAACCTGGGGGGGGGGGGGGGGTGAATTTTTGTACCGGTGTCCGATAATGGAATCTTCTTTTACAAAAGGGGTGTTATGTTACTTGTAGTTAACTAAAAACACACATGGTGCTGGCTAATGTCAATGCTAACCCTGTCCCTAACCCTAACCTCAACCCTGGTCCTACCATACGCCTAACCAGGGGCGTAGCGAGGGGGGGCGGGGGTGCATCGGGTGACACCATTTAGGGGGTGACACCAAGGCAAAAAATAGCAAAATATATAGAAAAAAACTTGAGGGGGGGGGGTGCAAATCGAAAGTTTGAGGGGGGAGGGGGTGCAAATCGAAAACTTGAAAGTCTGTCTCCGGGAAGGGTCGCTACGCCTCTGGGGGGGGGGGGGTGACACCATTAAGTGCCGCACCGGGTGACACCCGACCTCGCTACGCCACTGCGCCTAACTATAATTTCTAACCATAAAATTAGTCGAGAATACTACTAACAACCCAACACACCTATTTTAAGGAAGAGTCTATTATCGAACATCGGTATCTAAAACCATCCCATTATCAATGCATTAGAGTAATTTTTTCAACGGATGAAAGACTTTACAAAAATTGTTCATGGTAAAGTCTCTTATAACATAAGCTTAAAGCTAATACCATTCACTCAGTACGCATGCGCGGGAAAAAAACTAATTTTAGAATTCTTCGCCGTCGTAACAGAGCCAGTCTATGTTTTCAGTTACACAAACAAAACAAAAAACCTCTTATCACGAGCACATAGAATAGCATCCTTTTTGTGAGCGTTCACATTGGCTCCCTTCAAACGACACATAAGCAGAAGTGAACTGCAGTAGGCCTAATAGGCCTAGATCTAGATCTAGCACTTTTTAATTAAACAATTTTAGTGTGGTATAGCAAAGTATTGGCAAATTTAAAAAATAAATATATTTGTGCGACTATCGTTTGACCACTGTTTGAATAACAGCCGAAATAAAATTTGGCTTCAAACATGCGGCAAACAAAACGTGAATTCGTCCATTTTTTCCTAGCCTGCTTCATCTGTGGGATGGTTAACTCTTCTCTCTGTAAGTATTTTTGCCATCTCAAACTATTCACATAACTAGTTACGTTGTTTAAAGAACTTTGCAATATTTAGTTGTTTTTTTTAACCATCCGGCTGTTTAATGAGGGGGGGGGGGGGGTTAAGTTTGGCATAAAGAGAAAAAAAATTAACCCATTAACCCACGGTTAATTTTCACAGAACTTGGGCCAACTTTATTTTCTCTGTTTATAAAATGTATTTTCTAAAGAAAACATAAATGTTTTAAAGCGGTTTAATTTACATTTTTAGAATCATCGCACATCATTAGTGGCTTTGTAAATCATGACGCAGGTTATTATATGTATAAAAAGTTTGATTTATTTTCTTTTTTTTTAATTGCTTGTAGATCTAGATGCTTTAAAAAAAAAACAAAAAAAAACTAGCTCTTATTTTTTTAATTACCGGCATGAAGAAAATGTAGGCTTACTAATGAAATATTCAAACACATATTATGAATTTATATGTAAAGTGATTTAAGATACCCATACGGTTACACATAAATCATCATCTTTTCCCGTTCATGCGCAAGACACATGGGTAGATGCAGCAGAGTGCATCTATTTCAGAGACCTCGGCACATGAAGGGATAGCGTGGTCAGCGCTACGCCCAGCCGCCTTTGCTTTCACTAACGGTAGTTAAGTACTAATTTTCGGGTTAGCAGTCTAGCTCTCTATCTCTAGGCCTCGCCGTCTCATCATACATAAGTATCTAATCAAAAACTTTTTAAAGCTTACTAGATCTAGGCCTAGTTGAGTATTTTTTTAAAATTTATAATTGCTAAAACTTTAAGCTCAGGTATCCCCCCCCCTCCATGGCCCTGGACAAGAGTCACAAATACCACACCCCTTCCTTTAGTAGAGGCGTAGCGACCCATTTCGGCTCCCGGTACAACATATCATTTTTGAGCCCCCCCCCCTCCGTTATATATAGTTATTTACGTTATCGTAAAGGCGCTCTCCCCTCCCCATTTGTAAAACTTACCGGCGCTTTTTATCAGTCACTGAGTAATTTGGCGTCACACAATTGATGTATAAATCAGTTAAAATTAGTAGTCACTATTCTTAACATCGATCTTGAATATAACAATAATGCAGCTTAGAATGAGCTTTTAAATAATTTTCTACCCCTTTGGCGCCCCCCCCCCCCATCCCATCACTTAAGGACGGGCACCCCGAAGCAGTCGCCCCATCCACCCTCTCCTAGCAACGCCACTGACGGCTGTTGCAAGCGTAAACCGTGTGATCTCATCCACAGCTCTGAACATCAACTTCACCATCACCGAGCCCGCTAACAGCGACGACTGCGCCCAGCTAAAGTGTACGGTGGCTGCCGACGATGTGTTATCCATCAAAATCTTCAGGGACGGGCGCAGAGACAACCCCCTCGCGTTAATAGACACCTCGAAAAAGGAGAAAGTCAACGTCATCAACGAGCCTTGCCTGTCTGTCGTTAATGAAAAGGGATCTCTGAACGAGTCGTATGGAGTGGTGACGATACGCTTGCGAGACAACAGTACAAATAAAAAAGTTTGTGAGGGTATATACCACTGCTGGATACAGTTGGAGTCAAACCAAGAAGACTCACGGTCACTGGTTGTATCGCCCAACGCAAAACAATTGGCAGAGGAAATAAAAAGTATAATTCTTCCAGATATACTAAATGAAATTAAAAATAAAGTCAAGGAAGTCTTGGAGGGTTTTAGCGAGAGTATAAAATCAGTGAATACAAGTCTAACCAAGAAAATGGACGCGACAGTGCAAGATGTTCTCAAGGAAAATGACAAGCTTGCGAAAAGTTTTAACGCGGCCGTACTAGATCACACAGGTGTTTGCAGCACATCGGCGAAGCAGTCAGGGGAAAAGTGTGAGAGAGGTTTGGTCAGCGTCGTTGGCAACATAACAGCTAGGTTGGAGAGTATGAGCACGGCCTCGGAAGACACAGCTCGCGATGCTAAAAATAGTATCGGAAATCTCGCTGGCAAAGTGGAAACTTATCTGAATGAAATAAACAAACAAGAGAGTAACATTATTCTTACAGCGACCTGTTCCAAATTTTGGGTAATTTTTAAATTGATTTACTTTGGGTTTTATATTTTAAGTACATGTACATATAATAATTCATTTTTAACATTAAATGAAATTTGAAGTGTGTGTGTGTGTTGGGGGAGGGGGGTATAGGGGGAGGAAAATTAAGATAGGGTTTCTTAGGAAAGGGGTGGATATCCTTATCAGTATTTCTTTCAGACTTTTTCTCTCCGGGGATGGAGAGGGGGGGGGGGGGGGGTTACATGGAACTTTAGAGGGGGGGGGGGGGGGGCTGACTAAATTTTTCAGTGGGAGGGGGTAGACATTGGTAAATGTATATATTTTTATATATAAGTGATTCTTATTCTAAAACCGGAGTGGTCGATGGGTTTTGATTTCTTTGCATCGGGGTGTGGAGATGCTGTTTGTTTTTTAAAGAATAGAGGGTAAGTGTGAGAGGATGCACATCCCAGATACATAGAACCTGTGCACACAATTTCCAGTAAATACAAGTGTTGGTGTTAAGCAAGGGGGGGGGTGTAAGTGTCCACTAGATTGTTTGATAGCACAAGTGCTTGTACAGCATCAGTTGAGTTCCAGCTGTGAAACGTTTCCACTATATGTGTGAAATGTGCTTAATGCAATGTAACATTTTGAAATAGAGTTGCTGTATAGTATTTCAGAGTAACTATGTTATTTCTAATTTTTCTGTGTACGTTTTTAGTGTAACTGTGTTATTTATAATTTTTTTTTTTAAAAATTGTGTTCTACTGTGTTATGATAGTTCAGCCCTTATAGTTGCACTTAACTGGCTAAAATAAGATGACTCCCTTCTATTTTCTGCTTACATTCCCCTACTTCAAATTTGACCTTTTACTGATCTCTTCCATAGCTTTTCTCCACTTCTACATGACAATGTTCCCCTTATTTAAAAAAAAAATTAAAGTTGTCTCTCCGTTACAGTTGTGACCTCCCTTCTAAGCAACCATAAATATTCTCATCCTCATGCTTAAATTATGTAGGCTAATCTACCCAATACCCACCATAATTATTACCTCCCCTTCCTACTATAAAAGTTCACTCCCCTTACTTTGTTAGTTTACTAAACTTGTATACTGTATCTTCTCGAAAGTTCCCATGCGACGAGTCCACCAACAGTCCGAAGAAAATCGACTTTGAACCCAGAACGAAACACACCTCCGTCAACAACACAGTCGTCTTGTGTGACGCTCAGACTGATGGCGGTCGTTGGACTGTCATTCAGGTAGGTCGTACACAGGTTGTCATGGTGACCAGGTCGGACACAGGTTGTCTTGGTGACCAGCTGGTAGAGTGCTCGACTGCTAACCCGAAAGTCTCGAGTTTAGATCTCGATTCTGACTTGAGATTGTAGAACGCTCCTGGGTACCAGAGTTTCTTCCAGGCATCTCTTCGGGGGGGGGGGGGGGGGGGGGGGGGGAGGGCACGAACGAAATTGAATTTATATAGAAAATATATACTTTTGACAGTGTCCGCCCCTCCCCCCACTCCGGAAATAGTTGTCCGCCCCCCCCCCCCCCCCCCCCCCCCGAAAATGTCAAGTTTACCTCCGAAGAAAAAAGTCAAGAAGAAACACTGCTGAGTACAGCCAGCTCTAATGAGTACCTGACTCGTATTGAAGAAAGTAAAGGCTGCTGGGCATAGTGCTGACCACACCATCTCATCTAATGCATTGGTCAATAAACATGAAATCTATATAGAACGTTTAAATGTCTGAAAGGGGTACTTTACTATGTATCATGTAATTTAGAACATTTTTTTTTAATCTCATATGAAATGGAGAAAAAAGTTTTGAAATCGAGAAATTTAGTCCTAATAGCATGTTTTCAAATATTATAATAAAAAGATAACTGATTCAAGATTCATACCCACACATGTTAATATTGCTAACAATTTCGATAACGACACATCATTGTTACGCGCTTAATCCTCCACCTGTTCACATCTTGTCCTAATAAAAAATCCAACTCTAGCTAAAACTCTAAGCAAAGCCCAAGCCCCAACCTTTGTGGAACGATTCTCCATGATACAAATCTAAGTACGGCTTAATTGTTTGAATCAAATCAAAATGTTATTTCTTACCACTTGGACCGCTGTACGCCACTCATGCACTAAACATTCCGATATTTCTAGCGCCGAACCTCCGAAGGCCTCGACATGAACAGGACATGGGAGGAGTACAGAGACGGGTTTGGAGATGTGAGCGGAGACTTTTGGTTGGGCAACCAGAAAATACACCTGGCAACCTCACAGGTAAGACGTGAGCGGAGACTTTTGGTTGGGCAACCAGAACATACACCTGGCAACCTCACAGGTAAGACGGCAGTGGTCAGAGCTCTTGCATGCCCGTGTTGGGTAGGCCTGTTTAGGGCGCAGGGGTGGACTGGCTGTGTCCATAAGGCCCTGGAGATTTTAAAAGGGACCCCCAACTCTAGATAAAAATAAAAAAAAATATCCATTGAGCATTTGTTCTCAATCAAAGCCTGATAATCATCCTTGTGTTGATGGAATTCACGCGACAAATTATTCATTTAAAAAAATCAAAGAATTAGAAGGCCTATTACAGCATCTTTCCCGAGGCCCACGGGGATTTTTTGTACCTGTGAGCCCAACTGAATATTTCCCGATAGACTGGCAGGCCAGTCCACCCCTGTTTGTAGTCTTTGACAGGCATTTTATCTGTAGTAATTGTAGCCTGCTAGTATTGATTTAAAGATATAATTTGATACGTTTTGTGTTTGTCCAAAATTTTGGTAAGTGTTGTCCTTACCACGCATATGGTTTGGTGTTTTGTGTTTATTCAGAATTCGTTAGGATACGTTGAGTTTAGCTTTAGTCAAGACACATTTTTTTTTTCTTTAATGGAATCACGACTTGGACAAAAGGGAAAAAAGAGTGAGATGCTGCTTTAATTTTAGGCTAGAAAGCACTTTACTTGCTTATTTTTTTTTTATTTATGGGTAGAATGTGGAGCTACAGTGGGATACTAGGTAGCCTACAACTACTACTATTTATGGGTGGGTTTATGAAGTAGGCCGAGGCCTACTGCAGTAAATACTATTTGAGAAGGAAGTTGAACTTTACTGGCTTCGTGTGTTTTAAGTGTTTCTGTGAACAATTTCAACTAATCCGGAAATCGTAACTACTATTGAAAGTTAAGTTAGTTACACAATGTCCGTGTTTTAAGAATTACTATCTTCAATCCATCTTGGATTTTTGAGAACACTACAGAACAAGACAACACGCGACCCTCGACAAATTAACTTCCGGTACAACTATATTCAGGTCACGTGATCTGGGACAAGCAAGATTTTCCCGGATACAATACGCCTACTCATCTTCATGTTTAACCTCTCTGCGCACTACTTCCTCTAACAGGTACAACACGAACTGATGGTTGTGCTGAGGCTTGAGGACACGAATTACTACGCCAAGTACGCCTACTTCAAACTGCTAGACGAGAGCAACGATTTTACTTTGGATATCGCTGGACATTCTGGCACGGCAGGGGACTCTCTGCTGTACCATAAAGGGATGCCCTTTAGGTATGCTTTTGGGTCCAGTCCACTTTTAAAATAATTTAAAAAAAATAAAATAAACAAAAATACTATTTCCAGGCGACGATTTATTCAATAGAAATAAAATGTGTCTCGCCTTTCCTGCATGCTTCTCGTTACGACAACGCCTACATTCAATAACAGATAAATCCATGCGACCTCATTAGTTAACACATTCTACAACGGTGGAGAAAGGGCCAGGGATCGTCCATAAAAGACGTCACACTCGTAGGGGGGAGATGAGTCCGTAATTTTGTGATGGTGTGTGATGAGGGGAAAGGGGGGGGGGGGGGGGGGGGAGGGGTTCAGATGGTGTGAAGTCACACTTCTTCATTATAAAAAAGCATTGATAGAAAACGGGTTTCAGCCGTTATTTCGCGTTTTAGAAAACTGTTTTAGTAAATTGTAATAGGAATGGATTAAAATACTCTATTTTGACAGAGTTCGGACTAGATTTTGGAAAAATATCGATGTTTTAAGAAAAATTCAACTGCAATTTCGAGGGGGGGGGGGTGCAGGCTGAGGTGTGCCGTCATTTTAGAGGGGGTGGCGGGGGGGGGGGGGGGCGCTGGCTTTTTGTGACGATATGTGACGGAGTGGAGGGGCGGGAGGTACAAATCGTCAAAAAGCGTGATGTCATTTATGGATGACCCACTGGTACATTTTCAGCGTTCTGGGTCTTTTACTTCGTCCATTCTATATTTATGTTGGAAAGAAAACAAAAATCTTGTCTTGGACAACAACAAACACAACTAATATCATTATAGAAATACATTTTATAAGCATCCAATTAAGTTAAATTTTATGTCATATTGCAATATCATCGGACCGTGACTTACGTGTCAAATTTGAAAGAAATCGGCCTGGTAAAAATAAAAAGTTGAAATTTCGCTCGACAGTTTTGACCCATGACGAAACACAACAGACAATCAAGTTAAATAAAAGCTTGTAAAAAAAAACAACACCCAACTTACAATGCGTATTCAATGTTACAAAAAAATAATATTTATTTTCAGCACTTGGGACCGCGACAATGATAAGTCGAATATAAACTGTGCCGAGGACTGCGGCGGTGGATGGTGGTTCAAAAGCTGCAAGGTGTCAAACTTGAACGAGAAGTGGCCAGATATGCAATGGCTTGCTCTGATCAAAGACAAAGAAAAATTGCCGGACCTTAAAATAAAAATGACCGAGATGAAGATACGACCAAAGCAATAGAGTTTACACAACGATTGCTTTCTATAACTGTGTTTACGTATTATTAACACAGTTTTTTAATTTTTTAAGCGATAAAAATTCGAAAATAGTTCAAACATTGTGTGCTACAAACAATCGTAATCTCATTATACACAACATAATTGAGAGATTTTGACCAACATAACTAACATTTTAAACCTCTAATTATATAGATTTTAAAAATTTAAACAATTTAGCAAAAGTAAAATTAGAGAATTTGAAAGCCAGAGTTACCAAACAAATCTAAAATAATAATAAAATGAAAACCACCTATCCACGCCTATGGCGAATTTAAATACTAGAATCATAATGTGCAATGTTTCCATTTTGTAAATCAAATTTTAATAAGATCTTGTTCGAACAACGTTTTTATTTTTGCTGGGAAAGACAAAGAAAATTGGGGTTTATTTTCTAATTGTTAAAATCGGATTTTAATGATCTTATGCGACCAACTTTATTATTTTTGCTGCTATACCTTAAGAATTTTTTAATTAATTTCCTTATTTTTATTGCATTTTTAAGTTGTTTTTTTTATTGCATTCTTTTGCATGCTTTATTTTTCACTCTGAAATAATTCATAAATGAAGTCACGCTTTTTGTGACCATTTTTATTCACCCCACACCCAATCGCCACACATTGCCACAAAAAAGCCATACACCCACATAAAAAAACGTCGCACTCCAGCCTACAGTCCCCTCATCAAAATTGCATTTTTAGTTTTTTCAAAACATCGATTTCTTTCTAAAAATTAATTTCTAATCTTGGTCAACGCTGAGTAGCTATTAAGTTAAACAATGTATATTACTATACAAAAAAGTCTCTTCAAAACGGCTAAAAATCAGTTTTAACATTATTTTATGATGTGATGTCCAGTGTTTCTTCCAGACTTTTTTGATGCCTGGAAGAAACTCTAGTGATGTTACACTTTCTGCACCCCATTCACCTCGTCGTAAAATTCCGAATTCCCCCTCTTCCTTGGAGTGTGACGTCGTTTATGGACGACACTTTATGAAATTTAGTTACTAAGCCGTCTAATCATTTAATAAATATTTTGAATTGTAGTACGGACTCTGTCTTTGTTTGTTGCCTGCATACTAACACTAACATGTTTTGTTTTTTAAATCGTGACTACGCGATAAATTAGTTAGCCAAAATTTGAAGAGTTATTTGGATTCTTTGAGTCTTTGAGCTGTATTAGTAATTTTTGTAAATAAACATGGAAATAAATTGCGCTGTCTATGCATTGAAGATAATTCTTTCTTGTAAGTGATTTAGTAAATTATTTGTATGAACACATATCTAAATTGTTGAACAATTATTTATCTTATAGGGTTGATACTTTCTAAATTGAATATTAAATTCCAATATGTCGTAAGATTTAAGAATAACTGAGGTTAGATGTTCAGTATTAGTATTATTCGGTAGGCCTTACTATAAAATTATTACTAGACTAGATCTATTGTATATTTAGGTTATTGTTTCAAATAAAATGTAAAAGTAAAAACGCGATAAAAATGAATCGTGAAATGAATCATATATTTTCATCAAAAAAGTTAATGTTTTTAAGTTAACCGTCCTAGCAACAGTATACAACAAGATGGCGAAAATCGTTATCGCAGGTGAGTGAAATATGTTAAATTATTTTAATCCAGGCCTTCATATTAGTTTCTATATAACAATAGCTTACTGAAGTTAATATATGTTACGTCAAATATTATATCTGAATTATGTGCTTGTCAGAAAGTAACTTAATTTTGCAAAAATTAATAAGACAAACTGAGGCAACTGAAACTCAAAACTCAAGTCAAAACATTTTAAATTTTTAATAAAATTCAAAACAAACAACACACGTCAACCAATTTTAGTACACTACGTTAATCTAGAATCTATTAGCTATCAATATCACCAAATCATAACAAATATTAAATATGGCCTATGTTATATATGTTTTTATCATTTAAATTAATAAAGTTAGACCTAGTCCTAGTAGTTAGAGTAGTTAAGAGTAGTAGTGTAGTAGAGAAGTAGAGTTAAGTTAAATAGAGTAGTAACAGAAAACCTAATAACCTAATAAAATAATAAATCGTTTTAAAAAGTTCACATTTTGTTCGCAATTTATTTAAAATATTTTTAATATATATACTAGTATATAGTATTAAGTATATGCCACAGGCTACACTGTCATATTGTACACATACAATATCTAGATCAGTATAGAATATAGAACAGTATAGATTAGTGAGATTAGGCCTAGGCCTATATAATATATATTATTATATAGGCCTATAATATATTATAATAGGACTAGACTTTTATAGAGTGTAGAGTAAGTAGACAAGCTAAGCCATAAGACAAGTAATTAAGTAATAATCTGATATTCTACAATCCCTCTATCTAAACTACTAATACTGTAATTACTATTTTAAGTATTTTTTACGTCGGTTATGTACCGTACTAATGAAATTCACTTTAATCTAGTGTAGTTTAAACTTATAATTATTATTATAATTATTACACAATAACGACTACTACTAATAGACTAATAGGCCTAAATATATATTATTTAATCTGCCCTAACTACCAAATCTACTACTAATAGCTGGATGGAAATGTTTACATGTTACGCTTATTTTTTTTTAAGTAGGCCTATTTTTTTTAGTAGGTGGTTTATCAATCAATCTTTCATTTTATTTCCATATCAGTATAAGTTAAACATAATAGGTCTCCATTGTTTGCATTACAATAAAAAAAAATTAAGATGAATCAGCTCAGTTCTATTTATTTATTAAAAATGTTAATGCACATTTCAATCTACAACAGGGCGGTCAGATTGCCCATATTTTGCCAGAATTGAACTTTTAGGTGATCGTCTGGCAAAAAACTTGAAAAAATTCAAACTGCACAAGATTATGGTACAGCCAGATCAATGGGATGTGAGTACGTTAGGTTAGAATCACCACATGTGTGTGGAGTTGTATCGTTGCTCGAATTAGGCTTCTCTTCAGTTTTCTATCTCTACAACTGCTGTGATATATCAGCCTCACACTTTTCCAGTGTATCTAAAATAATTTGATTTAATATCTCACCTAGGGGGTGGGGGGGGGGGGGGAGGCTTACACATTATTTTTTATGTGTTTTTTGAGGAAGTTTTCTTTAAAATATGATGTAGCTAATTGTATTGTATAATTGTTCTTTAAAAAAAGCTGACCAACATGTCATTGCTTTATAATTATGATCATTTTATGGGCTGGTGGAACGTTTCGGCATTTTGTGATGATATAATAAGTGGGAGAGTGTGTTAAAAATCTGCTAAAATTGAATGCTAGCATGTAGTGTATGGACTATTGTTAAAGAAATTAATGTAAATAATTTTTTGATATATGATTGTTATTTTACACAGGCTTGGCTAAAAGACACATGTGCAGAAAAAGGATGGGTATTTTCATCATCACCAATAGTATGGCGAGAATTAATAGACAGGGGAGGGAAAGGTGTCCTTATAGGAGGAGCAAATGAATTCCAAGAGTACATCAAAGCCTACTATGATTTAGAGTCAGAAATGAACAGTTACGACATGAGGTCGATAGGGGCTGAAAACAAAATCACAAAAGATGAGCTAGATGCTGAGGAGAGATACTACAGCTCCCTAAGCAACCCAGTTAATATCTGTATCACAAACTCCATTAGCCCAACCTGCTATCACTTGATACACTCCGTTACATCAGGCAAAGTTCTGGGTCCTAAGGTTGAGATGAACATACGTCTGCTGGTGACGTCGGAGGATGATGTCGAAGCTGTCAGAGGAACTGCCATGGAGGCAGAAGATCTGGCGCACCCGTGTTTAAGAAGCGTCAAAGTTTGCATCAGCGCGGAGGAAGCGTTTGAAAACTGCGAGATTATTATTTGTCTGGATGAGGTGTTGAGACAGGACTGTGATTCCTTGCAGGAGTGGCTAATTAAAAATGAGACCTTGTTCTCATATTACGGTTCAATTATAAATGAAAAGGCTCTTAAAAGTTGTAAGGTAAGATTATTCATTAAGTTCAAGTTTTAAAATTGTAATTGGTACTTTTTTATATTTATATACTGCATGGAGTATTAAATATATGAGTGGTGTGATGATATACTTGTTTTGTAAAGTATCTATTGGCACTTACATCACTTTTTAAATCACCCTTTGTTGGTGTGTATGATTGATATTTCTAGCAAAGAACAACTCTGGTTGTTTGAAAATTATAGGATACACTTACTTCTCACTATTCATGCACCTATAAGACACATTGCAGTGTAATTAGTTCAGTTTTATGAATTTAGACAGCCAAAATATTGATGTTGAAAAAATTGTAATTATAACAAACATCTTTTGTTGGAATTTATATTAATTTTTATTTTTGCTAAATAAAAATCCAATTATAAGCTATACTGAACAAGTTTTCTGGAGTCTTACAGACTACACATGTTAAAAAAGTATAGAATCATAACAGTTTTATCACAATTAAAGACATAGGCTACTATTACCATTAAAAAAAAAAAAAAACTTTCTTTGCTTTTGAATATGCAGAAGTAATTTTGTATTAAAGTCAACACTACTATGTGAAGGTATGTAAGTGCTTCAGATTGGCCTGACATCTTGATACATATATCTCCAGGTTTTGGTCTGTGGTGGTGGCCCAATCAATGTCAATGCTATGATGATAATCAAGAGTGCAAAAAACCTTGCTAGGCAGAATGTTGTGGCTGTTGCGACAAATGTTGAAAACCATGCAAAGTCAATAATAGGAGAGAAACTGTCAGTGAATCCAGCAGGTTAGTTTTAACATTCTTTTAATTTTTCTAAATCATCTAGGCTTTTAAATTATCAAAATCATCTAGACTTTTAAATTATCTAAATCATCTAGATTTTTAAATTATCTAAATCATCTAGACTTTTAAATTATCTAAATCATCTAGACTTTAAATTATCAAATTCATCTAGACTTTTAAATTATCTTAATCATCTAGAGTTTTAAATTATCTAAAACATCTAGACTTTTAAATTACATAGATCATCTAGACTTTTAAAGTATCTAAATCATTTGAGATTTTTCTGGTTTTTTAAATGTAATTTTACTTTGTTTCATCTGGACCATATAGCAAAACATTTAATTCAGCCGTACCCATGCTGACCAGTTAGACATAATTAAAACCTGCCAGAATCCATTGGCCCTCACTGGCAAATATTAAAAATAGATGAACGTGATAGATTTAAAATTGAATCTTATAAACATTTTATGTTATCTAGGTATGAAATTAAAAAAAAAAGCACATTATTTGAAGTGAATTGTTTTCTGTATATAGATATTAATTTTAATAATTTTTATATTTTAGCATGAATAATTGATGACTAAAATTATTTTCACCAGGAGTGGTCAATTTATTGGTCTGGGGTAACATCAACGGGAAGCGATACCTGGATGTGAGTCAGTGTCGTGTCCATGGATATGATGGTGCTATCATTGGTCCTTATTGGTTAGTAGTCAATTACATATTTTAGACTAGGTCCTTATTGGTTAGTGTTCTGTTACATATTTTAGACTAGGTCCTACTTAAGTCCTTATGGTAAGTTTTAGCTACATATTTTAAACTAGGTCCTTATTGGTTAGTTTTAGCTACATATTTTAGACTAGGTCCTTATTGGTTATTATTCAGTTACATATTTTAGATTAGGTCCTTATTGTTATTATTTAGTCACATATTTTAGGTCTAGATCCTACACAAGACTTTATTGGTTATTATTTAATTTTAAAATTTTTTACAGCCACCTTTATAACTTTGCTATTGTTTTGGTGAATTTGCTGTTGCGTTATTTTACACAGGTATTCAGTGAGTGCTATAGAGATGCTGCATGAGAATAAATGGATCAGTGCAGAGCTCCCTGGTTTGGTAGCCTCAAGAAATATCAAGGTTGGTAGGCCTGTTGCTTTTTTGTGTGGAAATTGATAGAGAAGTTTTAATACATAACTAAATAATTATAAACAAAAGATGAAGAAATTGTTTTGTGGTAAAAATTTTTAAAATTTAAATGTCGAAAATGGTAAGTATTTATTAACTAATTAAATTATTAATAGTAACAATCAAAAAAGAAAATGATTTTAGTTTTGTGTACAAGAGGCAGTCGTTATTTTTTGTTTAGGTTTCAAGAATTATTGGTAGAGTCACAAGTATGAGCGCAGCTAACTCCATCTCTACCCTCTTACGGCACTGGTACAGGGGATCACCCCATGGGGAAATTTTTTCTCTTGGCGTCCACTCTGAAGGTTTTAATATTAAAATTTTTTTTTCTCTTAGCGTCCACTCTGAAGGTTTTAATATTTAAAAAAAAAATTTTTCTCTTGGCGTCTACTCTGAAGGTTTTAATATTTTAAAATTTTTTTCTCTTGGCGTCCACTCTGAAGGTTTTAATATTTAAAAAAAAATTTTTCTCTTGGCGTCCACTCTGAAGGTTTTAATATTTAAATTTTTTTTTTCTCTTGGCGTCCACTCTGAAAGGTTTTAATATTAAAAAAAAAAATTTCTCTTGGCGTCCACTCTGAAGGTTTTAATATTTAAATTTTTTTTTTCTCTTGGCGTCCATTCTGAAGGTTTTAATATTTAAAAAAGTTTTCTCTTGACGTCCACTCTGAAGGTTTTTATATTTTAAAAAAAATCTTTTTCTTTCCTCTATATGTATATTTTCTTTAATTATTCTGAACTTGTTATAGCAAAGGGCCATAATCACTTTTTTCTTGCTTACTCACATCATGGTGACCACTCTTTGTAGTGGGTTGATTTCTGTCTGTGTTTTGATATGCAGACTTATACCACGAGGGGTGGGGGAGGGGGGGAGGGAGGTATTGAGAGGGCATGTTCATGCATTTTTTAACATTTCCTCACAAGATTCTTAAAGTTTTAGATCAGCCTTAAAAATTAAGCCTTATCATAAATTTATATTTTTCTATTTTTTCTCTTTGTCTTTCTAACAATATGTGAAATCACACTTCAGAGGGTATTTAGTTTTTTAAAGCAATATGTAGTATATTCTTAATCGTTTTAATTTTTTTAAGATTCCTTTCTTTAATGATATTTTATTGATGTTTTAAGTGCATTTAAATTACCTTAGTATACAAGCACAATTACTTTACTGTATAATAATATCAGAAATCTATTTTAGGTTGGTATGGAGTCCCAGAAGGCATTGTTTTCTCATTTCCTGTGGCAATGGACCCTAAAGGCTACTGGTATGTTGTAGAGGACATATATTTAACCCTGGAGACCAAGCAAGGTATCAAGAATGGTATTGAGGTACGTGGAAATAAATGACACATTTGTTTATTCAGTCTATAATCACATCATTGAAACAGGCATCACATCTTTTTCTTTACAATCTGTAGTTTTATAGTTCTAATTTTCAAAAATTATCCTAAAGGAAAATGAGAAATTAAATACTTATTTGAAAAAAAACAAAAAAAAAAAACAACATAATTTGGCATAAATTTGAAAAATAATAATTAACACAATTTAATTAGAATTGTAAGTAGAGATGAAGAATATATTTTTAAAAATTTAAACTAAGGAAATTAACCTCCTATGTCTTCATATTTATCTTGGGCGTCTTTAAAAAAAATAATGTGCATTATTATTTTAGTTTATTTTAATTTGAAGACTAATTAAACAATTCAAACTTTTCTTTATTGTGTTCGCAGGATATTGTGTTTGAACTGGGCATCATACAAGGGGACATCAGAGCATCCAAAGGCAATTTCTTCTAATGTCATAGTAGTCTCCCATTTACTGCACACATTTAAATTAGTCTCCATCACATAGCAACAATAAGAAACATTTCCATATCATAGAGTTCAGAGACTTGTGCAAGAGTTTGAAAGTGATTGTTTACCCAGGCTTAAGTCATCTTTCAGTCATCTTTCAGTCATCTTTAAGAGAATGTCAAATATAATAACCAGACAAAAAAAACCACCTACCTATTTGAATACATAACATGATTACATACACTCATGCAAGAAAAACAAATTTTCAAACATCAACAACTATGTCAAATCAAAGTGAATTAAATCATAAAAAATATTCAAACTATTTTGTGGTTTGTGGTTTTTAATTTTAAAAACAATGAATTGCAAATTTATTTAAATTTTCTAAAAAATTTTAAATTCTTATATTTTAAAAATTTGTGTGTGTTACTTTTGATTTGGCAAATCAGAAACTATTATAATTATCTTGCTACTTAATTTGAATTTTTACCTAAAACAAAATTCAAACAAATATTCCAATGTTAAAAAAAAATCTCGTTCTGTCGTTACATAAATACTAATTAACCTGAAAGAGCTTAATTGTTATTAGTTTTGCCTGTAACTATAAATTTGACCCTATATATTATTTTAGCAAGCTTGCTGTGTAGTGTATTCATAGATATAATTATTTCCTTCCTTTAGCTGATGTTCTTGGTGAGACCGAGTCACAAGACAAAGACTTCACACCACTGGAAACTGATAAGACAGAAGTCACCACTACGCGCGGGGCTAGCCCGGTGGAGGGATATCTTAGCAGCATCACCCTGCAACCAGATATTGCAGAACTAGATCCATCCACATCTAACCCAGAGTTCTCAACAGATACAGATATAGTCAACCCCTAGATTTAAATATAACGCTGACTTTATACACAAATATCAAGACGTTTATAACAGACGGATAATGTTGACTCCTATGACAAAATATAACGCTGACTAATCTAAATCTGATTGTGAATTCAGTACCAAAGCTAAATAAAACCTAGACAAAAGTGATGATTTTAATCATATAGATGTTCTAGTTTTCTTAATAATATGAGCATACCCTCCATTTTTTCTTGACCTGCAGTAAGGCTATTGTAATTTTTTTTTAAATATAAAACTATTTTCCATTTTTACTTGTTTGGTTTATTATATCAGGGATGAAAAAAGTATGACATCTAACATTTTTCAAACATTTTCACAAATTAATTTTTTTTAAAAATTCAGTAATCATTTCTTTTTTATAAATGTTAAAATATTATAATATTCAGAGATAGAAATCATTAACATAAAACATGTAAAATTCTTATTTAAACATTAATTTTAAAAAATTATCTTCCAATGTATAAATTCCTGTTTTGCTACTAATTGTAGCATTTAATTTTCTTGTTAAAGCTGTTAATAAAAACAATTTATCTGAATGTACTGTTATCAATTGTATGTGTGATATTGGTGAGTAAATATCACATACACAAATGCCTAGTATACAGTGATAAACTAAATGTATTGTTATCATTTGTACTAGTGATATCTCAATGTAAATACATCACAGATAAACGCCTTGTATACTGTGATTATGGTCTTGTGTATTGCTGATGTATGATTTCTTTAAACAGAAATAAAAACTTGTTATAAACTGATGTTTAAGGTTTTGATTAGACATACATTGAATTTTAGTTTGATGAAAAACAATTAACTCAGCTGAAACAGTTCAATTGTAATAACAATTAGAACCTCTTTTCTTTGCTGCAGTATCAAGTTCCCTAATTGAAACTGATGGTGCATGGGGCGAGTGAAGTAGAGTTCACCTGTTTCTGTGATCTCCACATATGAAGGGATAGTGTGGGTGGACTCAAAGAAGCTCAACTGATTTTAACCTGGATTCAAACTCGAGACTTTCTGGTTAGCAGTCTAGCGTCCTACCACTAGGCCATGCTGTTCTACTGACCTATTATAACTATTAAATGTTGAAGATTCGTTTTTCCAACTAGTTCAAAAAATGTGTGTAGGCTTACTTAAATAAACACAATCACAATGGCCAGATAGAAACCAAACGTAAAAGAAGTGTACAAGAATGTACGCCAATATATATATATATATATATATATATATATATATATATATATATATATATATATATATATATATATATATATACTACTGTATAAATCCAGAATCAAACAAAACATACAAGAAAGTGTACAGTACAAGAATCAAGCCTAAGTTTAAAAAAAAAACACGTCGCGATGACTAATTTAGATGAAGTATTATAAAAAATGTGCTCGAACGTAGATAATTTAATCGAGCTCATTAGTTTATTTTGCTGTGTGATGATCTACCAATATGTTCACATAGAAGTCATGCGCCTTACCAAAGCAGCAGTAAAGGGACATAACTGAGTAATTATTTTGTAATGTTGTCAGTTGAGTTCAACGCTTGAGATCAGGATTTGGTTAGGCGATGATTACAGCGACTGTTTCACATTGAACATACGAAAATACGCATCCTGTTTAAGTAACCTCAATTGTTTATTAAAAATGTATTTCTTAACAACCTAAACTAGTTCAGGTAGTTCTGTCTGAATCACACTCCTCATTCCTTCTAGCTGTACCGTGGTTCTGTCTATACCACACTTCTAGCAGTACCATAATTCTAGCTGTACCGTGGATCTATCTGTACCAGTTCTAGCTGTACCGTAGTTCTAGCTGTACCGTAGATCTGTCTGTACCGTAGTTCTAGCTGTACCATAGTTCTAGCTGTACCATAGTTCTAGCTGTACCATAGTTCTAGCTGTACCATAGTTCTAGTTATACGACACTTCTAGCTGTACCGTAGATCTGTCTGTACCATATTTCTAGCTGTACCGTAGTTCTAGCTGTACCGTAGTTCTAGCTGTACCGTAGTTCTAGCTGTACCGTAGTTCTAGCTGTACCATATTTCTAGCTGTACCGTAGATCTGTCTGTGCAGTGGATCTAGCTGTACCGTAGTTCTAGCTGTACCATAGTTCTAGCTGTACCATAGTTCTAGTTATACGACACTTCTAGCTGTACCGTAGATCTGTCTGTACCATAGTTGTAGCTGTACCATAGTTCTAGCTGTACCATAGTTCTAGCTGTACCATAGTTCTAGTTGTACCGTAGTTCTAGTTGTACCGTAGTTCTAGCTGTACCATAGTTCTAGCTGTACCATAGTTCTAGCTGTACCATAGTTCTAGCTGTACCACACTTCCAGCAGTGGCGTAGCTAGGAGCCCCTATGCAAAAAGTGTTAGTGGGCCCCTCAGAGGCGTATCGACCCTTCCTGGCGACCGGGGACAAACTTTCGATTTGCACCCCCCCCCCCTCTGACTTTCGATTTTCACCCCCCCCTCAGACTCGAAAAAGGGACCCTATTTGCCTTGGGCCCCTATGCTTTGCTTACGCTGGCTTTACGGTAGCTACACCACTGACTCAGAGTTTCTTCCAGGCATCTCTTCGGGGGGGCTAAGCCCCCCCCCCCCCCCCCCCACGAAAATTTTTTACCGCCCCCCCCCCCCCCCCGAACGAAATGAAATTTATATAATTTATATAGAAAATATATAGTTTTAACAGTGTCCGCCCCCCGAAGAAAGTCTACCGCCACCCCCGAAAATTTCAATATATGATCCATGACCTAGGCACACAACTACGACACGGTTTGAATCTAGAAGTTCAAGAGCCCCTATTCTCTATGTCGTCCTTATTGTCAATATACATGTCGTAACCAGTGTTTCTTCCAGGCATTTTCGGGGAGGGGGCGGACTAAAATTTTCGGGGGGGGGGGGGGGGGGGGCGGGAGACACTGTTAAAAGTATATATTCTCTATATAAATTCCATTTCGTTCGGTGGGACGGGGAGCGATTGACTTTCTTCGGGGGGGGGGGGGGGGCTCAATACTTGCACAATGTATGGTGTTTATATCATTTTCGTTCGAAATAGGCGTTAGTGACCGGGTTAACGGTTAAGTAGGAGAGGAAGGTCATAGTAAAGCTAAGTGTTAGGATCAAGATAAAGGTCAAGGTTAGGGTTGATGCAAGGTGTTAATGTCATATCGTTTATAGCAACAACAAAAAAAAAAGTATCCTCGGCTCGCGTTAAAATACCGTTTTGAATCTGACGGCCCAACGGTGCAGGTGAAGTAGAGTTCACCTGTTCCCGTGACCTAAGCGTCGTGTGGTCAGCACTCTGCCCAGCCGCCAGGAGACAACACAACAGGGCACATCTGCAACCCTACACCAGTGCTGATGGAGAAATCCACACAGGATCATACAACAAACAGACTAGCCTTTAAACATATGGTCGGCGTCACAAGAAAACAATTTCCAACCGGATCAAATTATAAATATACAATCATCTCAAAACGGCGCGTCTTAAAGGCCAAGGTGTTGTGCTTACCGGTAAGACAGATGTAACACTGAAACTTAAAAAAGAAAACTTTCTTAGCTGCAAGATGGAATCTCCATTTCAGACATTATATTTTTATAGTATGAACCTTGGGCTTATGTGCACATTTCGACATTGGCGCCTGAGTGACCGAGTGGTATCCGTATTAACTCAAGGCGTCACATAATCTCAGAGGGCGGTGGGGGGGATGACACTATTCAGGTATATATATATATATATATATATATATATATATATATATATATATATATATATATATATATATATATATATATATATATATATATATATATCCAATATGTATCCGTTGTAATTCCAGTTAATTCAAGGCTACGTACGACGCTGTCGTGCAGCAAAGTTTTTGTTGTGTTCCGATGCAGTTCAAAACACATTTAAAAAATTATATACGGATATATTCTGCCGAGCATCCCCTCCCCCCTTTGAGGGCAAGCCCCTACTCTACGGCTGTTGGGTTAGGCACCAAAATATAATCTGAGAACACTTCAAAGCGCACCTAGTCTACATTTAGCTGCGTAGAAACCCGCATAGGTATTTAGTTTCGAAATTTTCCATTTTGACGATGATAATAAAATTTCACTCAGTCTCTTAACAACAAATGCCTTATACGGTATTTGTATCCAATAATTAAACAACACCACCAAAGCCTAAGGGTAAATGACGTCACACTCGTAAGTGGGGTGGGGGGTAATTTTGTGACGATGTGTGATTGGGGGAGGGTGTGTTCAGATTATGTGAAATCACACTCTTGCATTAAAAAAAATAAAGTTAGAAACTAAATTTTAACCGTTATTTAGAGTTTTAGGAAACTGTTCTAATAAATTAGAATAGAAATTGATTAACATTCTCGACCCTCTCTATATTGACCGAGCTCAGCATAGGTTTTAGAAAAAAAAAAGTTGATGTTTAAAAAAATACATCCACAATTTTGAGGGGGTTCGTACGCTAATGTGTGACGTCATTTTAGGGGAGGGTCTGGCTTTTTGTGACGTGGTACGACGGAGGGGAGTGGTTAGGAAAAAATAGTCCCAAAAAGTGTGACGTCATTTATGGATGACCCCCTAGTTGGATGGTGCATCTATACTTACACAGACCGGCCTCCTACGTCCAAGTATGACCTACTTGAGCGCTTGCGCAGACTCTGTTTCACCTAAATCTAGCAGCGGTTTTTGTTGACTTTCTGTTTCTTATTTTTTTAATGTTATTTTATATGTGACACACGATCTCCCAGTAATTATTCGCCTGGTCGCTGTTGTGATATAGGCAGACCTACAAGGACATTGACACGACAGTATATCTGTCTGTAGGTCATTTGGGAGAGAGGGATCGGGTCCCGGGGGGGGGGGGGGGGGGGGTTGGAGGGGTCCCGACCCCAATCTTTCCCCAAATTGACGGCTGTTTCATAGTTACATTTATTGGTGACGGTGTGCTCTTGTCAGTTTAGTTTCTTTGCAGTTCAAACTTATAATGTGATAAGGCAACTATTGTACAAAATAAAATAAATAAAATAAGTAATAAATCAATAATAAATAATAAACCTGTTATGTGACCATATTCTCTCTCTCTCGGGTGTAGGACAAAAGGCCGACATCCAAAAGACCGACAAGACAAAAGGTCGACATGGTCAAAAGACCGACAGCCAAAAGGCCGCTTGGACATAAGGTGGATAGCTTATAAGGCCTACAGCCAAAAGGCAGATAGACAAAAGGCCGACAGACCATATAGCCGACAAACCATAATGGCGACAAACATAAAAATACTAATATCTCAAAAT